TACTTCGTCAGGATGGCGAATTGTGCGATTTCACGCGTGTGATTAAGAAGCGTTGTAACCTTCTAAACAATAGTTTCTTGGTCAATTACCTTAAGTATTCTTAAGAGTAAAAGTATTCTTATTGGCCCAGTATTTAATGAACAGTTCAACTAGTTACATGGCAGCCTCACGGAACGGCGACACACCGTGCGCGCGCCTTTCTTTGGTCTCCAAGCTAGATATTTTTACCAGGACATTACTCATTCGTAACCTATTTTTTCTAAAATGATAAAAATATCAAAGCTCAATAGCAGCTCGAGTCGACTAAAATATGAAAACGCAGTGGTTGTTCCTATGAGGGCCTACCTTTTGTAAGTATTTTGAAGAAATGGCCGAAAAGAAAATCTATATATTCTGCAAACGTAGCTCTCCCACGGTCATGTAGAATGTGATATTCTCCTAACAAACTGCTTTGACTATGCAAACTCATTTACGCCCAACCAATACTCTTTAAAAATCGACACTAGTCAGTCTAAGACCAGATTTTCTCGGATTAAAGTTGTGAAATAATAAACAATTTGCTATTAAAGCATTCTCTTCTAAATTGCGCAAGAGATAAGCGAGCTAAACAAACATTTTTCGCATAATTGAGGAATCGTTACCCTTAAATAATCTCAGTAAGTTTTTTCATTTTTTCATCTTTTCACGACGTAAAATTTACCCTTTTGTCATTACTGTTTCTTTAGAAACACCGACGCAGCTAACACTAGTTTTTAGCTAGATATCTCTACTTAAATAATTTGTGTAGAATTATGGATTAATTGTTTTGGTTCAAATTCTGAACTGCATATTTTCGTAAACAATCGTCAATGGTGGTCCTGTCTCTCGACACTTTATAACTGACTTCACTTAAAGACATTTGGGATTTAGTGTCCCATGCATAGTTTTATATAAGGCCCTATGTGCCATGAGGCTCGAGGAAGATAGGTAACAGTCATAGTATTATAATGTCAAAGCTTTGGGTAGCTGGTTATGGAACCCAAGGTATATCTAGGAACTATAGTAGCCTTTTGTTTGCTTTCTTTTCCCAAGGGAAACTAACAACAAAAGAGTAAGCCATAGCAGTAGGGTCACCCTATCTTAGAACCTTTAAGTGTACCACGCTCCTACTGATCCTCCAATATGGCGGCCATGTCTTTTGTTATATCATCCAACATGGTGGCCATGTCTTTTGTTATATCATCCAACATGGTGGC